TCATTGAAAATGAACAAAGTGAGTTTTAGTGTGCAGTTCCATTTTCTTGTAAGTTTAACCAGAATGAGGCAGTCTCCTTGTGTTTGATCAGCTCAAGGTACTGAGAGCATCAAGTTACAAAAGTGTGGCCCAGAGCCAGCCCTAGGATAGATTTGCCAGGTTAGTGACATGCATCAAAGCTGCTGGGGCCCAGTGTAAGGCCTCTCCAGGGCAACAACACTTGTGCTAAGAGCCGCCTGTCACATTTTCAGCAGGTTCTATCTGGCACGCAGAATAAGCCAGGACTCTCCTACTTTGTATTCTCTACAAACCATCTTTTAGAAGTATATGCCTCTTTTGGGGGATGAGAGGGGAACAGAAATCACGCCTCCTGGGTCTCATGGCACTCCTGCTACCCTGGCCTCAGGAAGACATATGACCAGTGCTAAGCCTGTCTTTCTGGAGTGGAAACCATAGTCACACAAGGAGTCAGGTTTGAATTATGAGAAGGGAACATCTCTGGTGATGGCCTTCAGGGTCCCGAGGCCACAGTCCTTAGCTGACCTAGTTACCATCTTCCCTTAGCCTTGTTTTCCAGGGCTTCCTTCAGACCCGTGAGCTACTCTGGCACCTTTGGTTCTTGTGCAAGTCAGAGCTGGTTTCTGTTGCTGGCAGTCAGAGACCCAAACAGATGCAGATGTTCTCACTAGAGAAAATGATGAAGGATGGGCTCCCCCCTCCCCAAGAACTGAGGGTTTTCTTTTAAAAGTTGTTATGAAGGTGAGATTGGGGGAAGAGCATTGAAATGCCTGTGCTGGAATGGGAAAGTAGCAGTCTTTGTGCATCAGTGGACACCTTTTAAAGCTAGAAGAAGATATTTTAAATCTTCTTACCTCAGGGCATGGATGAACCTTTCTATTACTCTGTAGGAATCTCCTTACAGTTCGAATCCATTGAGTTTGTTTAAAAATAAACTCAGATATTAATTCTGTAAAATTTCTAAATTCACCAGTAGCCGAATTCACAATCTCACCCCATCTCAGAAGAGGGTAGAATTTTGTCAATTGGATCAATGATGTCTGGGAATATTCAGAGGATATAAAAACACTGAATGTAACCCCACAGAAACATTTCCTTTAGCAAGAAAGCATATCTCACTCTTGTAGGAGAAAGCAAAGCACATCCCTCCTGCCCCACAGTACACTACTATTCAACTGCACAATTGATATAACCCCAGAGGATAAGAAGCAGAATCACAGGGCTGGGGGATATAGATCAGTAGAACATCACTTGCTTAGAATGCCCAAAGCTAGGTTGGATACCTAGCACAGTGGGATGGTGATGGGTGGTGGTGGTAGTTCAGAATCAGGAAAAAGAAAGATTCTTAGAAGAAACTATCAATTACAGGACATATGTTGTCAAAAACATATAGGCCAGGCGTGGTGGCGCATACCTACAATCCTAGTGGCTTAGGAGCCTGAGGCAGGAGGATCACAAGTTCAAAGACAACCTCAGCAATTTAGTGAGGCCCTGTCTCAAAATAAAAACTAAAAAGGGCTAGGGATGTGGCTTGTAGTTTAGCATCCCTGGGTTTAATCCCCAGTACCCTTCCCACCCCCCAAAAAGGATATTTACAGAAACTTATTATTGTTTGACCAAGATGAGCAGAACATACTTTTGGTTTAGATTGTATTTATTGATATGTTCACTCAGAGATTCTTTGCTCAGTATAGAAACTCATAGCCAGATATGGTTCTAACTAATTTAGGGGGCCTTGGATAACATAATTATAGACTAAATGTTGGCTCATGCTAGATTATATTAAAAGACCTAACAAGCCAAGTGTGGTAGTGTGTGCCTATAGTCCCAGGTACTTGGGAGGCTGAAGCAGAAGTATCACTTGAACCCAGATGTTTGGGGCCAGGCTGAACAACATATCAAAACTCTCATATCATTTTTTAAAAAATCCAAGAAAGGAAGGAATTCAAAGATTTCAGAAGACAAAAATGCTTTATTGGGTCCCTGGCATGTATCCAACCCACCTGCCCTCTCATTGTCCTCTAGCAGGATTGGAAGGTGGGCTCCCTCCTTGCCCTGAGAAATAAATGAGTGGGGCTCTGCTGGCTTCCTCTCTATCTCTAGGCCTGGAATGCTGGTTGGAAGAGCTGCTATAAATACAAACTCCCTGACTTCAGCATCAGAGATAGTCAGAAGGAACAAAGTTGGATGGTCAGGAAAATAGCCATGAACATGGAAACCAGACCTTGAGCTGTGGTTAATCAACTGCTGAGTCCTGGGAATGAAAAAGGACAGGCAGTTCCTAAAATATCACCTAGTAAGTCTTGTAACTGGTTGAGCAATAATTCCCAGTTGGGCCTACAGGTCTGTTTCAAGCTGCCAAGATAAAGACAAGATCTCCTTCCCTAGGCTTTAACTGGAGAGGAAGTCAAATATCCAAATATCTTTTTTTAAGTATTTTTTTACTTAAAAAAATGGACACAATATCTTTCTTTCTTTTTTTATGTGGTGCTGAGGATCAAACCCAGTGCCTCATGCATGGGAGATAAGCGCTCAACCACTGAGCCACAACCCCAGCCCCCAAATATCTTTTTGAAGGAAAGGCTTATTTTAACTTTTGATGCATATTGTGACCCTTCCTTGCAGCCTTCCCCCAAAGGGATCTGTGTCCATGTATCTAGGTCTATAGAGGGTCTGGGGGTCCACAGTTTCCCTAGGTGCCTTAGGGGTAAGACATATGAAAGTCAGAGGTAAGAGATAAATCACATGAAAACACAAACAATACAAACATTGCCCCCTTGAAAATGTCCTGGGGGTTGACTATTTCCTTCATAATATGGGCCAAACTCCTTACCATTAAGGCTATTCGGCCTGGAATTGTCCAGGCAACGTGTGCCACTTTGGGGCATCGTACTCCAAACCAATTATTGACTGATCTAGTAAGTTGCCAGCTTTGGGCTGCTCCTAGAGCAAGTGAAAGCTCTCCTACTGGAAAAGCCTTTTGTACAACTGGTTCTGCCACCAAGTCATATGGCCTTCCAGATTCAATGTGTCTGTGTGTGGCACATCAGGAAGCCATGTGGAGCCTGTGACAGAGCAGAGTGCTCTAGGGAACGTGTAAGTCCTGCTAAGAGATATGTGGTAGGGGAATCCAGCATTCAGAACCAAGCGATGCTCAGGCCAACAGGTATTTTGAGAAATACCCCTCTGGCTCTCCACTAGGCTCTAGGGGGTCCACACATGGCTTTGGCACATTAGGCAGCCATGATGCCTTCAGGGAGTTGTCTGATCCACCAGCCATGAAGTCAGGTGGACACAGTCACTTCAGGATGGGACTCTAAAGGCACAAGCAGTACATGTGGATGGCTCACTCATTCCCCCACTCTGCCACCTCCTACCACACTGCTGAGCTTCCCTCCATCTACACCTATGGCCCTAAGAGGGCTCAGTCACTTGTTCTGGATTTGGATTGGTTCTCCTTACCCATCATGCCTCTCCCACCATCAATATGCAGTGAATTATCAAATACCACAAACATCGTTGTGGTGTCCTCACACCTTGCACTCAACCAAAGAACTCAGTTTACAACAAAAGTAATGGGTTAGTATATAGGACCTTCATTCGGCTTGTGAGATTCCCACAGACCAGTTGACTTGATAGCATGGTGAAATGGTGTGTTGAAAACATGGCACCAAATACAACAACCTGAGAGGCTGATTCAGGCCTGCAGGAGGAGGTATAAACTTTGTGAACTGTCAATCAAACATGGTGTCATTTCTCCTACAGGGCTAGAAAAAAGTGAGGAGATGGACATGCTATCACCATATCTCACTGCTTTTCTCATATTTAAGGTTTGGAACCAGTCTGGTGTAGAGGTTTTAGTCCCCAAGGGAAAAACACATCCTCAAAGAGAGAGGAATGATTCAACTGAAAAGGAAGCCAGTTTCGGGCTCCTTATGCCTCTAAGGGACAGAGAACAAGAGGTTGAGAGTATAGCTAGAATGATGAACCCCAAGGAGGGAAAATATGGTTGCTGCTACATAGCCAGGACTAGAGACGGACATGGGAGATTCCTGGTATGCTTCCTGGTACTGCCAAGTCTAGCAGTGCATGCCTGTCATAAAGGAAGTACCACTAAGGGGATGCACTTCAGAACTGAACTCCAATGGGCTGAAAAGCCCTAATTATAGACACTAGTTCTCATGGCCAACTGTAGAAATGTCCTGCAGTCTTTACCTATACCACCTTTCTTTCAATTTCGGGCAAACAAGGTTAATTTCATCAGTTAAACCATGGACTGCAGGATTTCAAAGTGGGATTTAGTGTGAAAAAACTAAAAGAGGTAGATTATTACTAGTGATAACTGGACTTTGGGGAAACCATAGCCCTGTCATTACCCCTGTGTTGAGAGCTGCAGCTGAGTCGGGATGGTGCCTGGCCCCTGGACTTAGTAGTGGGATATGACCTAGAGTTTCTTAAGCAGAGAGGAATTTGTTTTGGGTTGTATTTGGGAGAGTCAATACATCAGATGGGAAGAACCATGTGTGTGTGTGTCAGGGAATATCTCTTAGTTTTGTACTTCAAACCCCTTTCTACCCTTCCACTCTCCATAATTCTTCTGGTAAGAATCCTCATCCTTTGGGAAACTGCTTCTCTCTCATTCTGTGAGGCCCTGAGCTCCAGGCCAGCTTTTCTTACCTGGAATTTGGATCCTGAATGGAGGGAGACACTGGGACCTACAGCAACAGCTCCTGGGGGCAAGCACTGGAGCTGCCCTGGTTCCCACTCTCTCCAAGGCTAATTAATTGTTCAATAATTCTTTTGGTTCCACGAGCTACCCCAACATCTTTCCCATGAACCTTCTTTTGCTTAAGTTGGTCCAATTTAATTTCTGTTGCTCAAAATTCAAACACCAAGGATGGGCATTCTCTCCTAAGACTGCCTATACATCTTTTCCTCCCAGCATAAATGGGGCTGGCATAAAGTAGGTGCTCACAATTTGCTGAATGAATGGGTGAATGATTAATGGATGAACAATATCCAACTCTCAGTTCACCAAAGTAAGCTGGGTATGTAGGCTGGGAGAACTAAGGGCCCCCTGGGGCAAGAGAAGGAAGTAGGGAACCACCAGAGCAAAGAGGAGGTAGAGAAGTTAAAATCATGAGGATGGAGAAGGAAATTTCAGGTGAGGGAAAGCCCTGGGTGGGGTGAGGTGGGACTGAGAAGCATATAAGGGTCAGCAGGTAGCTGGGGGCAGATGCTGCTTGCCATCCAGACCAGTCCTGCTATGGCAGAGGCGGCCAGAGATACGGGGAGTTTCTGCTGAGTCCCCAGCTCTGTTCTTCCTTTCTAGGTTCCTTCTTTCATGTTCTCTTCCAAACGAAGGTGCAATTCCAAAGTCATCAAGTCCCCCAAACACCTTGCTAAGGGGCACAAGCCATCAGCTGAATTGTGTAACAGACTGTCCAGCTGCAGCCAGAGAAGACTGAGATGGAACTTCAGGCTAGGAACCAAAACGTTGATTCATTTTTCCAGTAGACCCAGGAACTATAGGATACCTTAGACAGCCTGCAGTACCACTGGGAAGAGGGGATCCTGACTATAACCACACCAGTTGAGGGCAAGCAGGACACACGGTTGCTGCCTTTATTGCATTCCAGGGGAGCAGGCTAGCTCCAGACCTGCCCCACTCCAGGTCTCAAGGAGGGATGTCCAGGGTGTTGGGCCCAGCACAGAATTTCCTCAGAAGCCCAGGCATGAGGGCGCAGAGCTGGAGCCCCAGGATCAAGAGCTAATGGTTGGGGGGCAGGGGTCCTAATTCCCAGATGGAGACACACTCCACCCAAGCATGTGAACGGATCCTTCCTAGAACACCCATGTGGACTCCCCTGTGAGGAAGAGTCCCAGCCCTCCACCCCTTTGAGAGGCGGGTGCAAAACTCACTGTAACCCCACTCCTTTCAATAACGCCCTCCCTCTGGCTATTGCTGCTGGCACCCTCATGCCAGTTCTCACCTCATGAGCAGAGAACCTGGGAGAGGTAGAGGAAGAGGGCACCAGGATGGAGGGAGAGGCCAGAGGGGCTGGGCCTCAGGGTGTGGGTCAGGCCTAGGGAAGGTCTGGGACAAAGGGACAAGCCAAGAATTGATGACGGGCAGTCAGCAGGCTGCAACTCAAAGCATGAAGGTACAAGGGAACATGGGAGCAGGGGAGTGAGTGTCTGAGTGATGGGAAGGAACAGCAGGAACACACATCATCAAAGACCACCGCAGAAGGACATGACAGGCTCGGAAGGGCCCTGAGCACTGTGCATGCTCAGGACAGGTTAGTTGAGGGATACGCTGGGCTGAATGAGGCTAAGTAGCGGGAAGGAGAAGATCCCCTGAACATCACCAAGCCAGACCCACCAGAGGAAGTCTGGAGCCCTGATGACAGGGAGAGATAGGGGCCAAACAGGGGCAAAACAGCAAATGTTGGCCCCCGGAGTACAACATTAATTGAAGGGTTTGGCTGGGGCAAGGGGTCGGGCTACAGAAATCATGCAGAGGACTTGGGGAAGCCTCCAGCAGTGGCATGTGTAAACTTCAAGAAGGGCCTAGATCTCCAGGCCCTTGGAGGTAGGGCCTGCTTAAGGCCTGCAAGCCCTGGATAACAATGGCACCAGGAGAGGCCAATGGGCTGTGTGCTGTGCCCAGAGCCATCCAATGAGGAGTTGACTGAGGAGAGGCTGCTCAGAGAGGTCCCCAAGAAGTGCCTCCTTAGGTCACCTTCTCTGGTTTGTTCTGTGTTGAGAATGTCTCCATCCGGTTCAAGCTGCTTCCTGGTTGGTCTGCTGCTAGGTGGAGGCCCCCAGCCTCCTGTTGGGGCTACCGCATGCCCTGGGCCTTGGAGCCTCCATCTTGGATGGGAGGCTGTCCCGATGACTGGATAGTGACTGCCTCTGAAGCCTGAGAGGTCTTGGAGCTTGGAGCACTCTTCCGGGTGCCCTGAGGACTAGGGAGGCCTTTCTTCTGGGGCTGAGGACTCAGCTGGGGGCCCTTCCTGCCAGCAGATGGACTCTTAGAGCCTTTGGCCTTGGCTTGGGGATGGGCAGTCTCAGGGATCTTGAGGGGTTTCAGCCCCAGCATCGCACAGTAGGTGTTGCACTGGTGGGAGGAGACAAACTGGTCCAGCAGGGCAGGGAAACAGCTCTCCTTGAGGCCTTGGTATCTGCAGCCAAACAGTAAGAGCTGAGTGGGTTGCACCCAGAGTGACAGGCTCTTGGGGGCCGACTTTGGGGTGGCCATCACCAGGGTATATTCTACCCTATTCCCCTGGGTTCTACCTCAGGTGGCAGCATCCCAAACATTGATTTAAAAACTGGTCTCATTACACCTTGACACACAGGATTCACTTTTGCGCCATCCTGTAGTGTGAGGAGAGTTTGCCTTTTAAATATAAACTGATGCAGACTTGAGGTCAACCGTCTAATCCCAGGGCCCTTGCCCATCCGCATCCTGATGAACATTCTCAAGGGAGAAGGAGTGGAGGAGTCCCTGAAGGCCCAGAATTTCAGGAGAATGTAGATATGGGCATTGATTACAGCTGCCAGTCCAGACCTGGGGTCAAGGGCACCGGGGTGGGTGGGGGGAATTAATGGCCTCAGGGTGTCACCCACACCCCAGGGATGGAAATCAGAAGGAATTAGGATGTCCAACATCCTGAGAAGACTAGAGTGTGCTATCCTCAAGAACCACTCACCCTCGCAGTTTGGTAGCAATCTGCACATCAGTCATCTTCCAGTCAACCCCTGAAAAGAGAGAAAGTCAGGGGTTGATGGCAGCCTGGCTGGGTCCTAGGCTTCCATGTCTTCAGCAAGGACATCACTTTAGATGGGAACTTCCCAGAGTTCAATGGAGGCAGGTCTTCAGCCGTCCTCTCAAAGGTCATCACCACCAGCCTGACTCGAAGGCACTGCACAAGCCTCTGTATGACTAGTTGTTATGGTTTTGATCTGGAATGTCCCTCAGAAGCTCATGTGGTAAAGCTTGGTTCCCCAATGCAGCCATGTCCAGAGGTGGGACTTTTAGGAAAGGATGGAACATGAGAGCTCTGACCTCATCAATAGATTAATCCACTTGATGGATCAATAATTTGAATGAGTTATTGGGAGGTGGGACCTATTTAGAAGAAGAAGGTCAGTAGTTGTGTTCCCTGGAAGGATTTAGCTTGTTCTCAGCCTCCCCCCACCCTCTGTCTGTCTTTCTCTCTTTCCCTGCTGCCGTGAACTGAGCAGCTCTCCTCCGCCACAGCCTTCTGCCATGATGTTCTGCCTCACCTCAGGCCCAGAGCAATGGAGTTGGCCAACCATGGACTGAACCTCTGAAACCATGAGCAAAAATAAACTTTTTATTTGTGTCAGGCATTTGGTCACAATGACAAAAACCTAACTAACACCCTGATAGTTAGTCATCTTCCCATTTTTAAGACAGCTCAGAGTTCAATGACTTGGGAAATTCATGCTTATTTTATAATAACTGAGCACTGATTGTGCAATGATCATTGTGAGTCAAAGTAAATGTTTAGTTTTCCTGACTCCTAAAGCCAAAACTCTTCCAGCTATGCAAGCCTGCCTCTACTAGATCAAACCAGGTCACAAACTGGACTGGATTCTGGCTTTGGACTAAAACTTCCTTTCTCTTAGATTAGTAGCCTATCCAAGATAGAGAAGATGGCAATGAGAGAAAAGTCAGGTATGGGCCAGCAGAAAGGTATCACTGGAAAAAACTGTCTTCTACCCTACTCGTAAAGGCAGCAGGCAAATTCTTCAGGAAGCCAGATGGTTAAGACAGCCTTGGAAGAACACAGCCTGGCAAAAATGATGATGGAGAGAAAAATTTGCCACCCTGCTCAGTCCACCCTAGTATCTCAGCATTCATGTATTAGATTTGTGATCCTCTTTCCCTATTTTCAAACTGTCCAGGATTTTTCTAAGAGGCTGCCTTTCACTAACAGGGCTGAGGACCATCACATGATGGAGTAGCACAAGTGTCAGCTTTAGAACCAGACAGATCTAGATTTATGTTTCAGCTCTCTCACTTCTAGGCCATGTGAATTTACCAAGACATGTAATCCTCTAATCTGCAACTGTGAAAGAGAGAATAATAATGCCCATCTTACAGGGGTTTTGAGAAGATCACAATACATGTAGGACTCTGGCTCGGTGTCTGAAGCACAGTAGTTATGAAATAAATGTCAATTTCTTTGTCACTTCTCACATTCCATTTGTATTATAATAATGATCTCTCACACTTGCACAGAATTTCAGTTTGCAGGTTTTCCCAAATATGATCTCATTAAATCCTGAAAATAGGTAAGAAGACAGTATTCCTAGAGAGGGAAAGGCAATTAGAAGACATAACCTGTCTGAGCTTTGGTTTTCTTCTTTGAGAAACAGAGAAAACAATGCGGTAATGGGGCCTGGTCTTAAACTATTCTGACTCCTAAGTCTTTTTCCTATGACACCATGTTGTCATTTCATGGTAGAGGTTATTTCTCACAGCTTCTTGAAGACAGTGACTACTACCAATTTATCTTGTATCTTCCCAATATTTAATAAATATTGGATAGAAGAGTGGAAACATGAATTTGTGACATAATAGATTGAATAATGGTGGCTTGATATTATCTAGATCCCCTCGTCTGATATATGGAATTATATGTACAATAATTATTGTATAGCCTAACCCCAGTGAAAAGCTACTTGGAGTCCATTTTATATCTCTTGTCCTTGGTCTTCTTACATTTATTTATTTATTGTATTTGGGATTGAGCCCAGGAGCTCTTTGCCACTGAGCTACATCCCTAGCCCTTACTTTTTATTTCAAGACAGGGTCTCACTGTTACCCAGGCTGGCATTGAATCTTCAATCCTATGGCCTCAGCCTCATGAGTCTCTGGGATTATAAGCATGTGCCACCACACCTGGCTGGTCTCACTTTTTGCCTCAGAGACAAGACTTAACAATGTGTGATATTGCCAGCTACCTTTCCTCCCACTGTAGACAGCAGTTTTTCTTTTTCTCTCCCCTGTCCAGTTCTGGTTAAAGAGCTTGGCCTGAGAGAATTGGTCAAACAATAAAGGAAAATTCATGCTTCCCACCTTCTTTTGTTAAGGAGTTTCTGGGTAACAGGGACATAGAGATACAACTCAAAGGGGCTGGAGCTGTGGCTCAGTGGTAGAGCACTTGCCCCACAAGTATGAAGCACTGGGTTCAATCCTAGCACCATGTAAAATCAAATAAAGGCATACAAAACCAAAAAAATATATTAAAAAAAGATAAAACTAAAAGAAAGCCAGGCAGGCTTATATTTAAAGACTAACATAAATGGAGGAAGACAAGGAGTGACTATAAAGCTATTTGTACCAGGATGGAAGAGAGTTTGGGAGATTTGGAGAGTGAAAAAATCCAAAGCCAAGCTGCAGAGATAGGAAGTTTTGAAAAGGGAAAGGGTAATTGTGGGTTTTGAAATAGATCCTATGTAACATTACTTGAAACAGATTCCTTTTAACTTTAAGTGGGCTGGATCTGACTCCTTTAAATGCAACTTTGCAGTTATAAATGGGGTGACACAAGGGTGTACATTAGGATTGCATTCAAAATGGTCCCTGTCCAATCTACATTACAAGACTGTTATGAAAAGCAAAGGAGGGCTGTGGATGTGGCACAAGTGGTAGTGCGCTCGCCTAGCATGCATGAGGCACTGGGTTCAATTCTCAGCACAACATAAAAAATAAAATAAAGATATTGTGTCCACCTAAAACTAAAAAATAAATACTTTTTTAAAAAGCAAAGGAGAAAAAAAATGCAAACGTGCTTTATAAATTATCAAACATGCACTACAACTCTGCCTTTTCTGCATGCTTTTATATCCATGCACCTGTGCATCCTCACACCTTCATACCTGCCAAATCTGTGACAAGGAAGCTGCCATTTGTCCACTGATACAGCCAGTGCTGGAAGGTCTGGCATTTCTGCAAGGCCTCAGAGCTGCTGGATGCTGTTGGAGCCCCAGTACAGCTCCATTCCCGGGAACAGTAAGACTCCAGGGGCTTGCCCAGGTCCTCCTCCAGGGTAGCATAGGGGATATTGTTGGCAGGCCGGTAGATCAGATAGAGTGGGATGATCCTAAACATAGTGGAACTCTGCAGTAAGCAGCAAATGTGGCCCCAGAGAGCTCCTCTCTCCAACCCCATTCTATATTTATTCTTAGATCTAAAAGAAGGGCCTTTCCCAGAGGCTCCATCTTGAGTTCAGGAAAGGAAATGGAAGCCATTGACATCAGAGTCCTGTCTATTCTCTATGATCAATGGGACCAGAACCAAACCCTGCTATGGTCCCAGGTCAACCATACTTGGGTAAGGGCTGAGCCAGTATGTGTCAAATAGAAAGGTTACCTCCAGAGCAGATTCAAACAGATCATGATCAAGTACCAGTTAAACCTCAGATATGCAAGGGTCAGAGTTCAAGTCTCAGAACAGAAACAATTATGACTCACAGCTGACTCCTACGGAAGTCCACACAGACCCTGCCTGCCCATGGCAGGAGAGTCCTGACCAGTTTATTTAGATGAGCCCACCCCACATCTTCCACAGAGACCCAGAATCTGGTATGCACAACACGTAATTGGTAAAATCTGGGTTAAAAAGTGAGGAATTAGGGTGGGTGGGAGGAGACTCAACCAGAGACTTTTCTCAAGTAGGGAGTGAATCTTGAGGTTTTCATTTCTAGATTTTGTGGGACCTTTGAGCTGAGCATGGGGTAGCATGAGCCTATTTGTACCTGGCCATAGGATGCCCCGTGAGGGGTTGGGAAATCACTGTCTTTGCAGAAGTGGGAGGCAACAGCTCCGCACTCTGCATGTCCCCACCTCCCGTGCACTTACTCAGGCACCTCTCCAAAGCCGGATGCTGCCCGGGCTTCAGCTGCGAAGATTTTGCAGTACTCCCTGCTCATGTTCTGGATCTTGCACCCCTGTGGATTAGAGGAAACAGAATCTAATCAGCAAGGAACCTCCCCAGCTCTCTCTCATGCCTAGGTCTAAGTAGGCGGGCCACCTGCTAAGGGACTCCAGGAGGATGCCAACCCTGGGGTACAATGGGGCTCACTCCTTCCTGTTCCCTACTCTGTGACTCATCTTCTCATTTGAATCACAAGGGGCTGTGGACTTTTTTCAGTTTGAGGTTTTCAAAATGGTTTCTAAACTTTGTTTCCTGGAGCCTTAATGCTAGGAGGCAGTGCCTTGGGGTCCCTCAGTGGAAAGAAGGGTAGACCATCCCTACCCACATCATTCCTTCTTTATTTCTCATGTAAAAAAGACCTCTAGGAGAGATCAGGTTTGAAACACATATATATAGTTTGAAACCTAGGGCCCAAATGGTTTTGAAGCTCTCAAGCTGTTTGAGGCCATGTCTAGATTCCAGGCTACATCTCAGCTTCCCCTCTAGGGCCACTATGGGAACCTCATAGGCTGAGATTGAGATGGCTTCTGCTCCCACATTGGGCCCAGGCTTGCAAAGGGAAGGAGGTAAGACAGTACAGTGACAAGAAGTAGTACCTGAATGGTGACATCGTAGTTTCTGCCCAGGAGAGAAGTCTCATTGCTGGGCCCAAACACAAGCAGGCTGGACACCTTGATGATGCATGTGCGGCCTGACTCAAAGATGGGTTCCAGCCCGTAGATGACCTTGGCTTGGGAGGCCTTCCGAAGGTTACACCCATGTCCATCCCCTCGGAGCTCCTCGCTCACCAGTCGCCCAAAGAGCTTGTCCCCCCAGCAGCCAGAGTCAGCCAGACCCTTAGCAAACACCATGGGGGTCATCTCAATCTCTTCTCCAACTGAAGGGGAACAGGAGAAATGTGGGAACTAGAAGACCCTGCCTGAACAATGTGAGATCCACAGGGATGAAAAGGCCAGAACAGTCTTCCACCTGTCTACCTGTGTGCTCCCTGTCTGTCCATAAGTGCTCTGCTGTATACACCTTGAGGCCCCTACCAGACTGAAAGCTGCTTGGGGCAGAAATTGCATCTGATTCAACCTTTGCCATTTAACAATCTCGGGTGGTACCCATTCTATAGTAAATGTCCAGAAAGTACCCAAGTAGGCAGGAGTGTTCTTGTGGCAGTAGCAGTCAATACAGAATACCAGAATTACTTTGTTCTAGACCTAGGTATAATAAAGACTCTATCTCAACCAACATGTTTGATGGAATAAAAACTTTGCAGGACCAATCCAGTAGCAGTGAGCACCCCTAATGCTCAAATTGTGATTGCTAAAGACCATTTCCCACCAAAAGGAATCAGAGCTCCATAAAGAAATGGTAGGCTGGGGCTGGGGTGGTAGCTCAGTGGAAGAGCACTTGCCTAGTATGTGTGAGGCACTGGGTTCATTTCTCAGCATCACATATAAATAAATAAAATAAAGGTCCATCAACAACTAAAAAATATGTTTAAAATATTTTTTAAAAAAGAAAGAAATGGTAGGCTATAGCACTTAGTAGGAAGTATACAGAACAGATCTGAAATATTCTGTGAGATAAGAAAAGTGTCAAAAACTACTGGAAGCTCGGGGCTGGGGTTGTGGCTCAGCAGTGGAGCACTCACCTTGCAGGGGTGAGGCTCTGGGTTCTATCCTTAGCACCACATAAAAATAAATAAGTGAAATAAAAGTATTGTGTCCAACTACAACTAAAAAATAAATATTAAAAAAAAACTACTGGGTTGTAGTTCAGTGGTAGTGTACTTGCCTGGCATATGTGAGGCACTAGGTTTGATTCTCAGCACCACATATAAATAAATAGATAAAGGTCTAATAAACAAGTTAAAAAAAAAACTACTGGAAGCTATTTGAGGCCTGGGCAACTTAGCAAGACCCTGTCTAAAAAAAAATGACTTTTTTTTTTTTTTTTTGGTACCAGGGGCGCTTAACCACGGAGCCACATCTCCAGTCTTTTTATATATTTTATTTTGAGACAGGGTCTCTCTAAATTGCTTAAGGCCTTGCTAAATTGCTGAGGCTGGCTTTGAACTTGCAATCCTCCTGCCTCAGCCTCCCAAGATGCTAGGATAGCAGGCATGTGACATCATGCCCAACTCAAAATAAGGTTTTTTAAATGGGCTAGGGATGTAGCTCAGCAGTAGAGAGCTCACCTAGCATGTGCAAGGCCCTTTCCATTTAATTCCCAGCACTGAAGAGGAAAAAAAAACTACTGCTACTGGAGACTTGTCAAAAGGACACAGGACTAGGCACAGTGGCACACCCCTGCAATACCAGCAGCTCAGGAGGCTGAGGCAGGAGGATTGCAAATTCAAAGCCAACTTCAGCAATTTAGTGAGGCCCTAAGAAATTTAGTGAGACCCTGTCTCAAAATAAAATCTGAAAAAAAGGGCTGGAGATGTGGCTCAGTGATTAAGAGACCTGGGTTCAATCCCCAGTAAAAAAAAAAAAAAAAAAAAAAAACCAACACCACAGGAACTAACTGCAAACAAAACTTTGACCAAAACTGAAACAATCTTAGACACAAAGGTAATTATTGCAATGTAGTACACATATCATACATGTTTAAAGTTCATTTGTTCATAATGGTAACTGGCAAAAAAAAAAAATTAGCAGGGCACAGTAGCAAATGCCTGTAATCCCAGCTACTCAGGAAGCAGAGACAAGAGGATTTCAAGTTTGAGGTCATCCTCCAACTTAGCAAGACTTCGTCTCAAAATAAAAAATCAGGGCTAGGGATATAGCTCAATGGTAAAGCACCCCTAGGTTCAATCCTTACTACCCAAATAGTAAAAATAAAATAAAAAGGTGGGTATGGAGCCCAGTGATAAAGTTCAATTCCCTGGTACTAATAGACAATTTCCTCTATCAAAAGAAACAAACCTCATTGGTCACCTCTGGAGGATGCTAGAATACAAACTCACTATTCTGAAATCTAGTGAGTACAGAGGGGGAAAAGGCAAGTACTTATTCATTTTCTGCTGGATCTGTATGTATCAGGATAACCAAATAATCATACAGAAAAATTCCAGCTACTAAAGACAAAATGATAGAATTAAAATACCTCCACATTGTCACTCTTAATGAAATAATGGATTTAGACAATAATTAGTGACTGCTAAATCCCCAAGATAATAAAGGGGGTTATGTCAGAATATTTTTTTTCATGCTGGGAGTTGAACTCAGGGCCTCACACATACTAGACAAGCTCTTTATCCCAACCCTTTTTAAAAATCGTATTTTAAGACGACATCTTGCTAAGTTGCCCAGGTCTCAAACTTGTGATCCTCATGCTTCAGCCTCCTAGGTAGCTTGGATTACAGGTGTGCAGCACCATGCCCAGCTATTTTTCTAATTTTAAAAGGAATTGATCAGGACTGGTGATGCAGCTCAGTGGTCAAGCACTTTCCTAGCATGCTCAAGGCCTTCTGTTTAATCCCTAGCACTACACACACCCACACAAAAAACAAACAAACAAAACACCAAATTTTTAAATTATTTGATAACTGAACAAAAAACACTGGTTGGGTGAACATGTGATTGAATGTGATAGAATGAACAGAAGAATTAATGCATCTGTTAGCAAGTGAAGCTCCTTGGGTGTCTCCATCACTGGTATCTTCCTGGGCCTAAGCCTTAGTGTAAGTCTTGCAGGTGCGATATGGACTCTCCTCCTGATTTCTGAGGCTTTGAAGTGTTTGTTACACTTTAGGGGTGTCTCAACATCACCAAATGCATTGCTCCTAGGTCCTTCCTAGACATTAAGGATGTCTGCAGTGGAGACCAAGCTGCATTTTTAGCAGGCTCCTTGTATGAGTCTAATGCAGGAATCCACAAAGCATGGTGAGAAACTCTGGGTGGGAAGCTGGCAGGATAAGGCAGGCCCTGGTGATCAGTCCTGTTCTTGATCAAGGACTCTGACATAGGCAGAGAGCCCAGAGCTGAATTAAACTGTGATGGAATTGTCCTCCTTAGCCACTTTCTCTCCTACATCCTCTGAAACATCAGTTTCCTTCTCCATTCCACCCCGCTCAGTCATATCATAAACTGGGCAGTAAAGGGCAGCATCTTGTGGACTGGGGACAGAGTCCAAGCCTTTACTGAAGATCTTGACTGTAGAGGGCAGGGGTGGGCAGGAAGACCCGTCCCTCCTCCCCCAGGGGGGCCACATACCTTCACCTTCCTCCCTGGAGACGAATCCAGACAACACTATGTGAGAAAAAGAAGAGGGAGCTGTTTGCTGCCTTCAGACTGGTTTACCCAGGTGACTGCCCCCACCCTGCAGGGGCCAACCTGGACAGACCCCCCCACCTCACTCCATAGGACACACTCACCCTCAGGGCTGAGGCAGAAGTCAGTGGAGGCAGAGCCATGCTCATTGTGGATGGTGCATCGATACACGCCACAGTCTACGGGGGAAGCCTGCACAATGGCCAGGGCTGCAGGTCCCTCATCCCCTGCACTGCAGAGAATGGAGACCCTTCTCATGAGGGCCGTCACAGTGACACAAGGCCTTCAACCCCACTCTCAGAGGCTGCTAGGAACACAGCTCTGGGAGCCCCTGGGAGGCAGTAAAAGGTTCCATGGTCAAGAACTGGCCCTGGATCATATGGGTCTGGTTTACAATCATGAAACCTACTAGCTATGTGGCTTAAGACCTCTGAGCCTCAATTTCCTTGTCTCTACTATGGGAATAACATGGGAATAACAGAATCTCTTCATAACATTATTGTGGTGACTAAATGCGGTATAGATTTAAAACATTAAGACAATACCCAACATGATTATTGTAATTAGGGAGCCAGGTCAGTTGAAGATGGAATCCAGGCTACTTACCTCCTGGCCACCTCACCCACTGGGCGCTGATCCTTGGCCCAAGTCAGGACTGAGTCACTAAGAATGTTGAAAAACTGGCACCAGAGCTTCAGGCTACCAGAGGCATCAGGAAATTGCTCCACCCTAATCTTCCGAATCACCTGTGGGGCTGAGAGCAGGAACCCAGTTAGGTGGCAGGGGCCACATCCCCCAATCTGTGCCCTCTCTGGCCATATCCCTGCTTCCCTGGGCCTCCTTGGTAGAATAGGTAAAGTGAAAACAGAATTCCAGACTCCACACAAACCCACCACTTCATAGTCCCAGCTGCCTCCCACTGTACCTCAGGTGTCTGCCCCAACCCCCAGAGCACACATCGGAACTAGAATGAACCCACAACTCCACCCCATCACAGGCCAGGGATGTCGTCACAGAGGAGGACAAAGACAACCACCAAGAGAGGATCTTCAGTGTGCATTTTAGGCCCCTTACTCCAGAAACCTGCATCTGAATCCTTTTTCACTACTTTGCAATCATGAACCAAATCTGTAAAGAGATGATTATGGCGATGGAAGGAGGATACTACTGAAGCCAGACACTGTACTAAGTCCTTGGTATATCTGCTTCTCAACGTTACAAGGTTGGTACTGCATATTATTATCTCCATTTTGCAGGGATAAAGAGCCAAGCAAGAGCCAGGCCTTTATCTATCTGTCTGTCTGTCTGTCTATCTATCCATCTATCCATCCATCCATTTATCTATGGTACTGGGAATTGAAACCAGCAGCACTCTACCACTGAGCTATACCCCCAGCCCTTTTCATTTTTATTTTGAGACAGGGCCTTGCTAAGTTGCCCAGGCTGGCTTTGAATTTGTGATCCTCTTGCCTCGGCCTCCTGAGTAGCTGGGATTACAGGCATGGGCCACCATGCCTGGCTAGGACCAGGCCTTTCTGAGAGATAGATCATGAAATAAGAATATGATTTGTAAATCCCTAGTAGGGATGTGCTATCCCGTGAGCAGCAGCGCCTCTCTGCAGCTTTTTGGAAGCCTTCTTCCACCCTTTATGTTGCTCACCTTTCAGCAGGTCTTTGGCTTTCTTGGGTTTGGCCAGAGCTTCCTGCTTGCCTTCATCCAGGGCAGGCTCTGTGTCCAGACCACTGGCCTTGGTACTGGAGCCCAGGTCTCCTGCAGCCGGCTCCTCTTCTGCCCTGGGCACCTCCAACATGCTCGCCTTCCTGCCCTGGGTAGGGGAGCGTCTCTCCCGCCCTGGAGACCCAGGTGCCAGGCTCTTCCTGGATCCCCGGGGAGAAACACTAGGGCTCTCTCTTTCTTCAGGCTTGGCCACCTCTCCATCTCCTGCTGCTCTGACCTTAGGGAGAAATCTCTTCCTCCGGGCCCCTAGAGCCAGTTCCTCAGGTGTGGCGGCCGGGAGATCTGTCAGAGCCTCCCCTGGGACCTCCTCCTCTGGGAAGAGTGCCTGAGTTTTGCTCTCTGCTGTTTGCCTGACCCCCTCCCCCAATGGCCCACCCACACCACTTTCCTGGGAGGCTCCCCAGAGGCCAGGCCCTTCAAGGGAAACCTCTCCCTCACCCACACTGAATCCTTCTGAGGTCAGCCCAGAGCCCTCCTCGCCCACCACAATGGTGGGGACCGTGAGTGGGCTGGGGGCCCGGAAGCTCTGGGCAGCAGCCAGGGCCTGCTGGCCAGCCTGCACCTCACGGTCCAAGAGGCCAGTGAGACGTCGGGAGGTACAGGGGCTCAGCAGCAGGGACTGCGCACTCTGTACCAGATGGTTGTTCTCCACACGCTCCAGGATGCGCCTCGATGTCCGGGGACTCAGCCCAGCCACTTCCACGGTGGGGGCCAGAGTGGATGAGTGCTCCAGACCTCCCGTGGCAGCCCCCATCTGGGACTCAGCTCCTGCTTCACTTGCCTGAGTGTTGGATAGCTTTAGCAGCAGAAGCAGGTAGTTCTTCAGAGAATCTATGAGGCCAGGGTCACAACTCTGGGTGCCTGAGGACCTCCCCTCCATATCTGGCTCCTTGGCACAGGCCCCCTCACCACTGGTGGCCATGGCTTCTGCTGGGTGACTCTGAGTGGGGGGCCTCGGCCTCAGGTTCAGTGCGGGGGCAGAACTCAGCAAGGCCTGATCCCCAGAGGACAGGAAGGCAGCTGTGCTCATGTGCTGAGAGGTCAGGGTACTGTGCAGCCCCTCCTCAGTCCCAGGAGAGGGCATGGTGGACACCTCCTGGCTTGGGCCACCCAGACCCCCACACAGCATATCTCCTGGCCACTGCTCCTTGGGGCCCTGGAGCAGGCTGTCCTCTGACTTGGCCTTGACCAGGCCTGACCACTCTGGCCCTTGACATCTCTCTCCTCCCACCTGTTCCAAGTTCCTCCTAGGAGGCAGCTGTTCTGGATGCCCAAGATTCCCCAACAGGGGATCCAATACAGTGTCCGGATGGTTCCTGGAGGCTGTTACTGCTGGCTCCTCAGATCTGACCATGATGCCAGGTTTTTCTAGGATACAAGATGTTTCTGGGGTCTGTACAAAACATTCAGTAATCTGAGAAGATTTAGATTGCTCTGAAGGTGGGAGTTTAGGGGCTCTGCATGGTGGGCTGAGGCTGATCACAGACCGATTGTCTGACTGATTTTTGATAGCTGCAGGAACACTGTCCTCTGACTGTGTCCCCCTTTCTTCCTGCATCCTTGTGTCTTCCTGTATCGTCCCATCTGCCTGTGTCTTTCTATCTTTCTGCATCCTCTCATCTGCCTGCATCCTTTCTACTCGTGTCTCCACCCTTCTCTGTGCCACCACATCCTTCTCTGAGTTCCTGTCTAACTGTAACCTCTCACTGTCTTGTGTCACAACATCCACCTGTGTCTTTCTGTCTGCCTGCGTCCTCTGGGCTACTTGTGATCTGTCTCCCTGGGTCTTCCCATCTGCCGGCATCTTTCCATCTGTCTGTGTGTTCTTCTGGCTTTCAGTTCTTCCGTCAGCAGATGTTCTCCCATGCTCCTGGGTTTCTGTATCCATGGGCTCAATGATACCTTGACTTCTAGAGGTGCTGCAGTCAACAGAGGCTCCACCAGAGCTGCTGCTAGCAGATACAGTAGGAGCCATGATTGCTTGGGACTCCGGGACCTGAGGACCACACAGACAAAAGCAAAGAGTTAACTGCACATGCACTAGGAGCTCTTCAAAATAGCATCCTGACCTCCTCTGATCATGCAGAACTACTCTGAAGGAAATCCTACCACCTGGTTTCTGAGGCCTGCTGGAAGTTGGGAGGCAGACCTATGACAAAGTTCCAAAGCCTCATGCCCACCCACAATAATCCTTGATCCCAGAAACTAGACTAGGGTCTATCCAGACTCCAGGCCCAGCCTCTGGATAGTCCCTAGTCTAGTTCTGACCTCTTCCTGAAAAAAATCCTGCCTTGCCCAAAAGACCTTGCTCCTGGGGAATCCCACCCTCAGCCCTGCCACCTGCAGGACAGTGACCCCCCAGGTTCCCAGAGCTATCAATCTTTTCTTCTCTGGTGTACAGATTGCCCTAGATAGACTTATGAATGAAGTAGGAATGTGCTAAAGTGTGTTCTGACAATGCCTCAAAGACAGCATCCACCAGGGACATTGGGCTCATAGAATAACATGATAACCATCCAAACAGAGTTAATGGAACCATGAATGGCATCTACATCAAGAAATCAACGAAACATTACCTTTAGAACATCTACTATTTGCAGAGCATTATGCTAGCCTCCTATGTATTATACATATGACCTTACTCTGCATAATGATGGGAAATTCTTCTTCTTCTTTTTTTTTTTTTTTGGTGCCAGGGATTGAACCAGGGACACTTAACCACTGAGTCACATTTCCAGCTCTTTTGTATATTTTATTTTGAGACAGGGTCCTGTTAAGTTGCTTAGGGCCTTGCTAAATTGTTGAGGGAGGCCTCCAACTTGGTATCCTCCTCATAGGCATGTGCCTCCATGCTCAGCCACAATGAGAAATTCTCATGAGAATTATCCTCATTTTAGAGATGAGAAGAATTATGGTCAAAGAAGGGATGTGATTTGTCCATTTTTAGATAGTTAGTGGCAGAGTTTAGATCAGAAGGCAGGTATATCTAGTTCCAAACCCCATTTTCTTTGCTGTTATACCATAGTGCCACACATTTAAACATAATTAAGGGCTGGGCATGGAAGGGTGGGGTGTCACACCTGTAATCCCAGCAACTCAGAAGGCTAAGGCAGGATCCCAACTTCAAGACCAGCCTGGGCAATTTAGCAAGACCCTGCCTCAAATAAAATGTAAAAAGGGCTATAGATGTAGCTCAGGCCTAGCATGCACGAGACTCTGGATTCTATCCTCAGTATTACCAATATAAATAAATAAGTAAATAAATAAATAAAATTAAGAACTTACTGCCTAAATGTTGATATAAGTCAGTAACCTGCCTCTTTTCCTCCTGGATACCACCAATACTAACAAAGTAAACAAGAAAAGACTAAAGCAAACTTTTCTATCCGTGAAACTAGAGGCAAATAAAACCTATAGTGTCGAAAAACAAACCAAGGATAAGGCCGCCAAAAGCAAATACATGTAGACACTGGTAGGCTGAGGAGGAACCAAAGCTACGGGGCGGCGGGCACTAGAGAAGCCATTCAACGGGTGAACTGTGAAACAGAATATGCCAGCAAAAACACGCACACTGCAGAGGAGGGACTCTTCCTGAGGTGACAAATCCACGAGCTCCATGAACACAGCTGTAGGATTCTGGAGGACTGGATGGGAGCTGAGCAGAAGACATGGGGACAGTGTCCAGCAGAGACAGGGTCAGGGGAGTGGAATGGCCCTGTGGCAGCAGATCTCAGAAAAATATACTCCAGAAGAAACCTGAAATATACTCCAGAAGAAACCTGAAAATTGCTAAGCTAAGAAATCTGGTTTTGAACATACAAGGACTTGACGAATATCTCATTCCCATGAGCACAGAGAACAAGCTTCAGTCAACCCAACATGATCAAGGAAGCAAAAGAGCTGAAGGAAAGCACTAAATATATTCATATTATATTAACATAAATCCAAGACTCAAGCCAAGCTGAACTGGGCTCAATGGTGCACACCTGTAATCCCAGAGACTTGGGAGGCTGAGGCAGAAGGAACTCCAATTTGAGGCCAACAACTTAATGAGACCTTGTCTCAAAACAAAAAATAAAAAGGGCTGGAGGTGTAGCTCAGTGGTAGAGTACCCCTAGGTTCAATCTCCAGTACCACAAAAAATAAAATAAAAGGCCAGGAATGAGATATTACTAAAAGCTGAGAATCCAAGTAACAGAAATATAGGATATTTAACTACATAATCATATAGAAATAAAATCTTTGGCTACTATAAGATAGAAGATGAACAGGGAAAATGAGGAGAACATATAAACACTTTGTTATTGCTCATGCAAAAAAATTAGTAGATACTGACTGAACAGATCAAAGAATTAACTGTATTACATAAAATTCAAATTGTAAATTAAATCACTACATACAAGTGTTTTTAATTTCAAGCCACACACAAAGCAGACAGATCACATTAATGAAAGACTTTTTAAAAATATATGTAACATATATTTAAATTAAGTATAGAATTTAAAGTTCCTTTACTAAATATAGAATTTTGAATGAATTTTCTCTTATTTATATGTGGGAAAAATTAGTTTTCTAAATATCAGGAATAAGTTTGACCAAAGAATTTTAATAGAAATACTCTTCCAACTTCTCCGACAACAAAGAAGATACTAACAGACAAAAATGCCTTAGAGTCAAAAAATAGTAATACATGGGGACCTTCTTTTAACTTGTGACTTTTAGGATCTATAAATTTGCAAAGAAAGTACTGACTTGGTTCCCAAGCCTACTTTCTGCTGCTAGCAAGACTCCTACTTAAAGCCGCCTCCACTTCACTCCTGCTTACCCACGAAGCCTGATCAGTCCCTTGAGCCTATGTCCCTTTACCTCAAAATTCATTCCCTCTGTTTCCACTGTCAATTGCCTCGTTCAAGCTGCCCACATGGCGGCTGTGACTGGACTACTGGACAGCCTCCTAAATCGGCAGCCAGGACGCTAATCTTTGCCTCTGCTAAACTTTTTTCCTCACTGCAGCCTAGTGATCTTTCTGTAGTACAGACTGGACTTTGGCGCTCCCCTGCTTAAAAACCTCTCAGTGGGGGCAGGGGATGTGGCTCAGTGGTAGAGCGCTTGCCTGGCATGATGAGGCCCTGGGTTCAAGTCCTAGCACTGCAAAAATAAAAACAAGCAAACAAATAACAATAACAAAAAGTGTCTCAGCACCTTACCAGCACTTATAGGACAAAGCCTAAGAGCCCTAGCCTAAAAGAGCAAAAGGTTAAAAATACTCTCCATTAGCCAGGGTGTGGGGAAACAGGCTGTGGCACAGCTTCTACAGATAGCAATGTGGTGTTATTTATTAAAATTAAAAATACTTATGGTCTTTGGGGCTGGGACTGTAGCTAGGTGGTAGAGCACTTGCCTGGAACGTGTGAGAAACTGGGTTCAATCATCAGTACTACATAAAATAAATAAATAAAATAAAGGTATTGTGTCCACCTACAACTAAAAATATATTTTCAAAAGGGGGTGGGTGGGCTGGGGATGTAGCTCAGTAGTAAAATGCCCTTGGATTCAATCCCTAGGACTGTGAAAATAAATAAAGCAAGATGCAGACAAGAGAGTAAAGCATTCAAGCTTTGTCTAGAAAACATACCAGTACACATATACATTTGTAAATGCAAAGAAAATAGCTCTGGAAGGATACCTAAGCAACTAACTTCAGAAGGAGGTGGGTAAAGGAGAGATGTAATGTTCTTTATACACCTTTTTCTACTTTTAAATTTTTATGCCATATGCATGGCACATATTCAACAAAAACTCAATTAAAAATGAAAACAAGTAAGGGAATAAACTCTTGCGTGATGAATGAGACCTATTCTTTAGTAAGGATCCCAGACCTCCCTCTCTAGGTTCATCTCTAGGGTCCCTCCACCTGACACTAGGTAACTGTACTGGTGCTATTTTGTAACTACTTTGCTCTTTCTCTGTCAGACATTTTCATACTTCTCTTTGCCCAGCTGGAGAAGCTCCATTTAAGATTGTGAAGATTTCATTTAAGTTTATTCTTTTCCTTGAAGATTTTTCAAGATTACTCCTCAACCTCAAATAGCATTACTGGCTTCCTAACCTATATATTCATAGCACATATAACTAATTCCATCATTAAACCCCCATTCTGTGTGGTAGTTATTTGTCTCATGTATACGTCACCCTGCTAATCTGGGAACTCTACCCCTCTGCAGAGGGCCCAACACAGGCCAGAGTCAGATTTATAGATCAACAAATATCCGATGGATGACTGAACTCTTTCAATACACTTCTACAAGGGCTGAGCCCTCTACACACTAGGGGATGCATGTGTGTGTGTGGTGTGTGTGTGTGTGTGTGTGTGTGTGTGTGTGTATGTGTGTACATCTACAGTGCATTTCTAAAAAACAAAAATTATGTGAGTAGAGTGAACCTAGCTGGTTCTAGGAAAGTTTTTTTCACTACAAATAACATTATTAGGTCTTATTTACTGTCAAGTCTTTCCCTCTTGGCTCGTAAATTCTCAGGGATTAGGGTTCCTAATCCTAGTCTGATTCAATATTGCATCCTTCACAGCCCTGAGTACATATAGGGTTCACAGGAATGAACAACTGAATAACTAGTCTGGCTGGTAACCTGCAAGAGGCATGACCCAGGAGCACTGACTTTGGGGGACAGGAGTAAAAGGTAGGAGCTTAACAGGCATGGACAGGGTAGTGTCAAGACCTGAAGCCAGACCTAGGGCTGCTACTGAGTTTTATTATATTAAATGTTTGGGAGAAATCCCCAGTGAAACCTTTGGTCCTGAAGATTTCTTTGCTGGAAATTTATACTACAAATTCAATGAATGTATTTAATACTTATATGATTATTCAAATTATCAATTTCATTTTTGCATCAGTTTTGATAGTTTGTAATTTTTATAGAATTGGACTATTTAATCTAAATTGTTGAATTTATGTGCATTTTTCATAGACTTTTATTACC